TTACCCTTTTTCGTAATAATTTTATTTAAAAATATTAAAATGCTGTTAACATAGTTTGGGTGTATTCCATTTATGGTTTTTGATATTCATAATTTGTGTATAAATATTCTCATTAACAAATTGTCTAACTCCACATTCTTTTAAGGCGATTCATTGATATTTTCTGTACTTTTCTTTCTTCTTCCCTGTACTTTTTTTGTACAAACATGCGGAATTAATTAAGAGAGACTGTAAAGAAAAAAATCATATTAATTATTTTGTCGATCTACAACATAATAAAAATACAAATAATGAGTCGAGAGGATTATGTATTCTGAAAAAAGTTGTTAACAAAACACTTGATGTTTTAAATCGTGCACTTTAGTATTACAAGCAGACTTAGCTGTTCAGCTAATCTGATATTTTTAAAGAATATTTTTCTTCATTCAGAGACGGATTAGTAAGTGAATCTTCAAAAACAAACTTAAGACAAATTTAAGGAAAATAAATGTTGTAGAGGTAAAATACAAAAGAAAGTATTACCACAATTAGGTACTGAAAACAAAGGGAGAAAACCTCTCTCTTAAAGCTTTTGAGGGTTCAGAAGTTTCTCTGTATTATTAATCTCAGGTACAACAATGTACACTGCTTACGGCAACACGCCAATATATTCATGCTATCCAAACAAATGAAATTGCTAAGATCACAACACATTCATCATTACTTTTGCTCAAGTAGACCGGTACACACGTACAAACACAGACACGACAACAACAACAACACTACACGCATTTATTTTAGCCAGCTTATACTGTAACACACAAAGCATTTGTTTGTAAAGCCGCTGCCTGCATAACAATGAGATAATTTTATAACACAGATATAGCTATTGCTCTATCTATCCAATGTATAGAGAGATATATATCGTGAAATTGTATATTTATTTTGATGCTTTCTATAATGTTACAATTTGTACTTCGGTGTAACGGACATGTTTTCTTATATATATTTACCGATAGTATACGACGAGACAGCAGATGGTGGAGACATTCGAGATGTAACCACTTGGATGCTTTACTGCATTTGATATAAGGCCATTTGGAATGGAAAAAATTGATCGATCCCGAAGTTATACATTTCTTATATATATACATAAGGGTGTGCCAAAATTTAATTTCCGTGAAGAACCTTTTAAAATTGGAATTTTTAGCTCCGCTTTTAACAGGAGCTGTGTTTAGGCATTTCCTGAGATATTTTGGGTTGAGACGTTCGTACTTGGTTTCCATAGAATTTTTAACAGGAGCTTTATTTGGGAACTTCCAGCCGAGATATATCTCCAAAGCAGCCGGAAAAAATTAAAAAAATCATTAAAATTCTATGAAAATCAAATATGAACGTTTCAACCCAAAATATCTCAGGAAATGCCTAAACACAGCTCCTGTTAAAAGCGGAACTCAAAATCCAATCCCCCCTTTGCCAAATTCGTCGTTAAATCACAAATTAGTTGTTAAAATGGCTAATTTGTCACTTATAAGAGTGAACCATTTTATAAGAATTTATAAATTAATCCGCGACATTTGATCCGACGACAATTGCTCCGAGGATAATTGATTCTCACGACAATTGATCCCGCTAGAAGCGCAAATGTATATATTGATGTATAATCATTGCTTTCTCGACAATTGATCCTACTAGAGGCGCAAAAAAGGGCACAACACGATAATAAGCTTATGTGCTTTGGATTAATTGTCATGAGGATCATATGTCTTGAGATCAAATCCCGGGTCAAAAAATTTAAACTGATTTTAAGCTAAATTATCTGCATTTGAACTTATTGACCTGTATTTGAACTTTTAAAAACATTTTCATCTATATTTGATCTACTATTCAAATTATTTTTGATCGGTTTTAAGTCTAAA